AAGTCCCGCGACTGGGTGACGCGCGGCTCGATCGTGTGCTCAATGCTTCGCAACATGGTGTGGACGCTAGTCCTGGTCCTGGAGCAGCCGGCAATCGTCACACCGGGACTGATGATCTCGAGCCTCTCGTGCCTGACGTGCTCGCTCGTCGCCATCGCGGTTGAGGCCGTTGGAACGCCGGGTTCCGACTTCAGCGAGGGAAGCTCGCCGGGCGCTCTAAAGGTCGAGGATTACGCTGGCGTGTTGAGGAACACACGGACTCTTCCGACGAGTAGGAGGGAGACGGGGACGAGGAAGGGAAAGGGGAAGACGGTTGACCCTGAGCGGGCGGCGGCGGCGGCGTCGCACAACCATAGGCACGGACGGGATGACGGGCAGGGGCAGGAGGGCGGGATCTTCTTTACGCGGGACGGGAGGCAGGCGATGAGGACGTTGGATCGTCTCGAGGTCGAGGTCCTCCGAAGGTTTGACCCGGCCTTGGCGTCTTCGGCGCACGCGTTCGAGATGATCTCGCTCCTGGAGAAGCTGGCCGGGATTGGCGACCAGCCTGCCGCGGCGCTCGCGGGGATGATGGGCGCACTTAAGCTGCGAGGGGAGCCGGGGACGGGGAAGATGTTCCATAGGAAAGGTTACGTCGGTCGGGCCAAGGAGCTGGAGGAGGTTATGGCAACGGTGAAAAAGCTCGTCGCGGGTGACGGGGAGCTTTCAGGACGAGGGCTGCTGCTTATCGGTGACTCCGGTACATTTATCCGTCTACTTCATGGTGATATGGTTGCTTACCTTTTTTAACTTAGGAATCGGAAAGACGACCTTTATTGAGGCCCTTCGCCACGAGATGGCGGATTACAGCCCCATCTTCGCCACCTACACTTGCCCGACCCGCCCCTGCCTCGCGTCCTTCTCCGCCGTCGGCTCGATCGTCCGGTCGCTGCTCGAGACGCTCTCCATCCGGCCCGGCGGTATCATCTCGGCTCTCCCAAACCTCCCGGCGCAGTCGCGCTCGCTCCTGTCCCTCCTGACCCTTGCGGTTCCGGAGGTCATCGCGAGCGAGACCGCCGCGTCGAGGATGAAGTTGGGGCAGAAGGCCATCTTCACGGCGATGGCGAGCTTGATTGTGGAGGTGTTGAAGTGCAAGGCCTCATCCTTTGGAGTAGTTGTCATCGTGCTTGAAAACGCGCAGGTGGGTTTCTGTCTTGACAGGCGTCATGGCTTGCTGACGCCTGTACAAATACAGATGTGTGACGAGATGTCCCTCCAAGTGATCATGGTAAGCCTCTACCTTTGACGCTGTCAATCCGCACTTGACTGAATGCCGCTTTAGAAACTTCCTCAAGTAGCGTCCGCCGCCAATCTTCCCCTCTTCCTTATGCTGACCTCCCGTCGACACGTCGCGAACCGCCCGACCCCACCCAGCTCCCGGTTCGAGTTCCCCTACCGGCCAGCGCGCGACCCTACCTCGCCCCTTTCTAACCCGCAGCAGCAGAAAATCGACCATCTCCTTTCCTCCGCCGTCCCGCACGTGACCCGGGTGTACCTCGAGGGGCTCTCGGACGACGAGGGCCGTCAGCTCATTCGTCAGAACCTCGACGCGCACAACCAACTGCCCGACGATCTTGTCGCGACCATAGCGGAGCGGCTCGGGGGGTCACCGTTACGGATGGAGCTATGGGTGAAAGGTCTCTTGCTGTCGCTCAGTCCGGGCAAAGGTGAAGCGTTGCCGGCTGCAAGGGAGATCATGGAGAGCGCTCGGCTGGCGATGACATTAAGGGTTGAGGTGTCGGACAGGCTGTTTTTGATGATGGAGAGGGAGTCACAGGAGTTCATGAGCTTGATGGCGGTGATTGGGATGGTGATGGACGTTGAGGCTATGTACTACGTCTACGCGGCGATGTGTGAGGACCCGAGGGTCGAAAAATTTATCAATGTACGTTCGGTTTACGTTCTTTTGTGGGGCTTTCTTGATACTAATGCAAACGGCCAGTTGATGAAGCGCGCGATCTCCTCTCGCATCTTCTATCGCATGCCAAAAAGCTCCAGCTCGATCAAGAAACACACAAACCAACCGCGCAAACCTGCTGCATCCCTCTCCCCACCTTCGGCCGGCGCTCCTACAGCCTCGACCAGCTCGCTGACGCAGGGCCGATCGGAGTCACAGGTGGAGGTGCCATCGTACGATGACGTCCAATACCAGTGGACGCACGAGTATTTGATGGAGGCTTTTGCGAAAAAGGTTGGAGGAGGCAGACGGATCCAGGCGCATGCGGTGCTGGTGAAGTTTTGGATGACGAGGATGGCGAAGAAAGATGACCGGGTTACGGACACCGTCACGCAGCTCGAGGTTGCGTACCATCTAGAGCGCAGCTCTTCGAAGGGCATTGCCACCTTCTTCTTAGTCTTAGCGGCTGAGCAGGTGCGTCGTTTGTAACTTCGACGTTACCTGTTGTCTGACTTCTTCGATCGCTATATAGGATATGAAAGGCAGCCCCATGCTTACTCGTCGGGACATCCTCATTCTTGCCGACAGTCTGTCCTACCGCCAACATCCTGCCGGCCCAGTTGACCCGCCCAGGCCCCCGATCGCCCCCGACGCGACCCGTGATCTCCTCCATGGCACAATTGAGTACCTGCTTGCCCGCTCTGGTGCCACCCTGGACGCAACCTCGCACGCCAATTACCTTTGGAACTACGGGTCGGAATGCATCGGCCGCTTCATCACCTTACCGAAGCAGGGCAGCGAGATTAGCTGGGAGATTGCGGGTTTCAGCCTCCTTGGGGTCATAAATCAACCCGGTTATCGCTCTAAGACGCGCGGGGGGGACGCAGAGGGCCACAGGCGGCTGATGCGTCGCGCCGCGTCGCTGCTCCACGACATCACGCCTCTCATAGGCCTGAACGTGGACGCCAGCTTAGCGAGGGCAATGCATCACTTCGGATCGTCGTGTATCCTCCTGGAGTCGAACGGCGGGTCCGTAGGGGAACTCCTGGTCGGGTACGGGTGGATCCAGCACCACCTAGCCGTCACAAGGAAGTTTTCTGTTCGGGAGCTGGTAATCAGGAAGGGGAGGGCCATGATAGCGGCCATGAGTGCGGACGAAATGGCGAAGAGGAGGGGAGCCGTCGCTATGTTCGAGGGGCTGATTGGGATGGGCTTCACGGCCGTGGGCAGCTTTGCGCAGGCGGAGGCTTTCTTGGCAAGCTCGACGCTTCTTGGCGACGCTGTGGCTATGGGATACCCTTTAGCGGAGCTGCATGTGAGCGCCGATTCATTACATAAATCAAGCAGAACTTGTGCTAAGGTTATTTTCCAGATATGGCACATCACGACGCTAATTCAGATGGGTCGGCTAAAAGACGCATGCCGTCTGACTCGAGAATCCAGGCATCGGCTAGCCGGCGATGACTCGGCGGACGTATTGACGCGGCGGGTGCTGGACGCCCTCCACGTCCTCATAGTCCTTATGCTCGGACACGGGACGCAAAACAATGGGATGACAAGCGAGACGATTGAGCTCGCCGAAGAGCTAATCAGCAAGACTTTACCAAATCTGCCGAAGTTAAAGAGCAGCGTAGAAACTTCCAACGGTGATATCGCAGAGGAGGAAGCAGCCTACGCAACGGGCATGAACACAAGCACGGGTACCGCGGCCAGATCGCCAACAGGGTCGCCGTGTCAACATTCTGAGACCCGGAAGGCTCAAGCGTCGTCCTTAGGTTCAGACACGCTCTACTCGGACTCGAGCTTGTATGTACAAGCACCAATGAAGTGTGCAGAGGTCCCTGACCAAGGCCCACCACCAACGACGGCGTCCCGGACGATCTTCCTTGCCGTGCTCTCCTTGATCGCGACCCTCATGGAGAAGCCAAACGCCGCCGCGACCCTCCTAGACGCAATCCTCTATCCGCCTCAGCAACCATCAAACGGCGCGTCCGCGACCCTATCGCCTCTGGGTCTTATCTTCCAGCCGGCGGGAGGCCTGCCACCGCATGGTGCGAGCTGCGGCGTCGGTGGGATGAGCGGGTGGAGGTTCCACAATCCGCTCCTGGCGAGCTGGGTACCCGGGATCCCCTTCGCCATTGCGTGCGCCGCTGAGGCTAGCGTCCGCTGTCTCACCAGACTTCCGAGCCCCGGAGACGCCTCCGGGACGGCAGCGGAGGCGCGGAAGGGTGAGCTTGCGGCCGCGCAGGCGTCCTCGCGGTCCGGTATCCAGCGGACTCCATCATCCGCCTCGGGCTCCGTCGCGGGCGGTGCCCCGACAGTGTTGTCTGGATTTGGGCGGGCCGCGACGGTGATCCCGCCGTCCGAGTGGGGTTCGGAGCGGCTGGAGTGTTGGAAGGTGCGGGTGATAGGCTGCTTCGAGATCATGAGGGTGGTAGCGCTGAAGCTAAAGACGTCAGAGCATCTCGCCGCGGAAATGTACCTTATGAAGAGCGTCGTTCGAGACTGGGAGCTGGGCGGGATCTCTCTCAGCCGCCGCAACGGGACAAAAGGTTCGAAGTGGGCCTTGGCGTTAATCGAGGTCGCGAGGTACTTGGAGAAAGCCAAAGACGCTGCCAGGGCGTACCAGAAGCTGTGGGTTGAGGGGCAGGTACACGCGCATGCCGACGCGATATTGGGCGATGGTACTGGCGCCGGCGGGCCAGGGCATGGATTTGAGGACCATAGGATGTTTGAGGAAGAATGTGGAGCGATGATACGTCGCTATTGAGCATGCTTTGTAGAGTCAACGTTTGAAACCATGCACTGCTGTAATATACATAAATTTTCCCGTTAATATGTGGAAGAAGAACCAGTAGTTGCTGTAATTTACAATGAAGTGCCGTAGTCTCGATAGCAGTGAAGACATTCATGGCCTCAAGCAGCGAATCACTTCGACGATTCCCCACGGTAGAGTTGTGTTGAAATGAGTAGTGTTGAAATGGTTGTGGGTGAGTATTAATGCCGGGCCATGGAGGATCCTCAATTTGCTCGCAATCACTTAAAGTTAAAAAAAAAAACAAATCGACAACGGCAGGACTCGAACCTGCGCTCCCAGAGGGAAGTAGATTTCGAGTCTACCGCGTTAACCACTCCGCCACGTTGTCGATGCCAACTCTTTCCTAGCTGCGCACATGAGACTAAAGCACACATCACGTCGCTGCAACTAACTGGGCCGGAGCAGCACTTTCCGCATCGCAAACAATATGGTTCGTGAGGTACGAAGCACCCTATGTTCTACCTTGCGCAGTATGCAATGAGAGTGGATATTTTGTAAACATACTGGCCGGGGAGTCATGCAAGTACTTGTTGCTTGGTGAGTTATTCCAACGTGTTGCCCCTATTTTCCATATCACAAACAGATAAGTAATTGTTTACTGTCATTGAGTGCCTCTTTGATGACTTGGATTGCAGAGAAGAACCGCACGGAACCCACTCCCTACCGTCATGAGAACTTCGGCTCATACAGTGACCCCGACGACGCCGACTTCTCCAGTATCAAGAAGTGGCTCGACCCGCTCCCGTTCACAGTCGTGTACTTCAGCGGCCTGAACCTCGACACGATCAACCCGTTCTTCCTCATACCCACCCCCGGCCCCCTCACCGTCTTATCCGTCGCGCCAGAGGCCACCGACCGCCCCGACCCGACCCTCACGGGCCGATCCCCGACGACGTTCCCGGAAGACGGGCGGCTGTCATGCATCGCCCCGTGCAGCGTCGACCCCGTCCCGGGCCTGTCCTTTCGTAGCTGGACGTTCAAGTCCATCCCATCATCGCCCGCCCGTTGCCCGTACAGAACCCCGTTCGATCGCTGCAGCTCCTCCATCTCTCTTTGATGCTCCCGAAACGTCGTCGAGCTCCGAGGCGTGATAATGTCCCCGCCATCCGACTCCCGGCTCTGTCGCCGCGCAGCAAGGCTCTGCCGAATCGCGCACGCCTCCACGTCCGAAATGATCCGTGGACCCGACCCCGGTCGCGTGAGGGGAGCAGGTGCCGCCGGAGCCGAGGTGGGATCCGGATCTGCGCCGATCTTATAGCGTAGGAGGCATTCCGCCGTCGGGTCCCTCCGACCGGACTGCTTCCGGGACAGCTTGATGGGCAGGGCCGGCGGCGCCCTGATCTGCGCCTTGGGCGGCTGCGGCAGATCCGCGACGAACGACGCTAACGCGGACGCCAAATGCTCCTTGAACTTTTCGTTGAGGCTTTCCATGTTGACCCGTGTCGTTCGCTGCTTCGCATGCACCGGCATCGTCGAGTCCGACTGGGACTGCGAGCCTACCAAGTGCGCGTAGTGATGCCGAGTCAACATCCCCGGCGGCGGCGAATACGATGGGAAGGCCATGTCCGAAACGTCCGCCACGCTCGCCGCAATTGAGTGACCCCCGCCCGCGCCGTTCACGTACGCCGCGTCCGTCTCGGCCTCCTCCAGCGCCCTCATCTCGGCCGCCTCCCGCTCCCTCATGATCTCCGCCTTCCGGTTCCAATCCATGTACCGCGGCCTGATCCGACGGCCGCCTGCACCACCAGTCCCGTCGTCACCCTTCCTCCGCGCCCGCAGGGCGAGCGCGTCCGCGGCAAGCCCGTCAACTCCGCCGCCGCGGACATGCTCCTCCCGCTCCCTCGCCCGCTGCAGCACCTCCCTCCGACCCCTCGTAGACGCCGTGTCAGCGAACATCTTCCTCGCGCTGTTCAAGCACCGGAGGTACCGCGCGAGCCGGTGGTTGTCCTCCGGCGGGAAAGCACGGCGGAAGGATCCCATGCGGGCGTCCTCGAACCGGCGGAGGGCGTCAAGGTATGCCGGCGGGTGTTGGGAGGAGTAGGACGCGAGCAGTTCGAGGGAGGAGGCGGAG